ATTGAATGATATAAAAAACATTTAATTCTAATCACTAGATCACAAGATATACTTATTTAAAGACTGAAATTTAAAATGGCCCAATGCTTCTTTTTGCTGTGGGGGTCCCCATATATAACTTCATCATATGAAAGTCGAATGATTCAAAGTAATTCACCTGATATTATTAGCCTATATACATAATATACTTTTTTTATATATAACTTCATCACGTAAATTGAATATGAAGGTCGAATGATTCAGAGTAATTCAACTGATATTATTAAAGTACAGCACGAAAACTTTAAGTTTGCTTAGTACACTAGACCTGGTTAAAAGATCGAGATAATCTACTCGAGCTTCCGAAAAAAAATTAAAAAATTTCAATCCATTTAATCGTTCGTATAACGATCTGCAAACTCGGGGCATACTCGGGACGGTCCTACCTGTTGTATAAATGTGTATATTATATTAGCCCTTGCCACTCCAAACCATAATCATCCATAAAAAATTAAGCAGTTTCGATATACTTTAGATTTGAATAATTCTTCCAGTAGTAATAATGACAACCTTCGAAAGCCTGTCGGTTAAAATTGAACAAGCAGTCAATCGTTGCATCGACTCACAAGAGCAACTTGAAGATAATATCAAAAAATGGCTGGTACCACTTGCAAATGCAAACAAAGAAGTTGTTGATTTAAGGAAGGCGACTCTCGAACATGTTTTCAAAAAGTTATCGGCGAGAATTTCAGTAAATACAATATTAGTTTAACGTAAATATTACTTTCAGCTAAAGACCTTTAAAATAAATTTTTGTTCATATTAGACATATCCACCTGATCGTCTCATACCAGCCGCATTCAGACTATTGAATCTTGTATTAGGGTGCCATGAGGCTGAGGGTTGTAAGTGAACCCAAAATTTATCAATAAAATCAATAAATATAAATGATTTTTGAAGAATAAAGTAATGAATATTAATTTTTTTTATTAGCTTTATGTGAACAGGCCATAACTTTGACGATTCTGGAGGAATTGATGGAAACACAACCTCTTGAGGTCTGTGAAAAACTATATAGTTTCTTAGAAATAAATAAGAAAAGGCTGCTTGTGGTATGTAAATTTTTTTGAAATTAAAAATCATTACATCAATTTATAAAGTATCATTAACAATAATTGGAAATATTTGGTATTTGATTGGCATAAGAATTTAATACCAACACAGGGAAAGGGTCTGATTCTATTAAGACTATCTAACGAACTAATACGTAGAGCGTCTAAGTCAAATCATAATGCATTCCGTGGTAGGATCTTGATATTTCTATCTAATACCTATGCGCTCGGTGAAGTTTCAGGCATGTATAAAGTAAATCATTTTCTCAATATTTTGGATGTAAATTATTCAATATTTCATTTCATATAATATATTGACATTTTTGTATTTGATAGGTGTTAACAAGGGAGGTGAATGTAATGTTGATAACGTTACGCATTATAGTGCATCACAAGATGGTATGGAATTATTTATTTTTACAAAAAGCAAATATATTTTTTTTTATTATTTAATACAGAAATCCAACATTTATTTGTTTTTATTATTATTATTATTATTATTATTAGGAGAGGAAGCCGCATTTTATAACACTTTTTGGAGTCTTCAAACTTATTTCAGCAATCCCCCAAAATTGTTTAAAGACAATAATTTGGAAGTTGTTCTTAATGTAAGCAAAACATAGTTCAGTTAATATAAAATGAAATT